CATGCCACACCTCGATGTGTCACTTCTTTACAGCTGTAGCAGGTGACAGTCACTCTTGGAGTGAACCTACTGTGCCTTGGTGTCCTACATCTTCAGGCACTGTGTGAGCCCTAGAGCAGGTGGGCTTCAGCCTCCAGCTACTGTAATTTTTACCCAGATGTGGGTTTGTTTATTCTTGATCTGGGTAAAAAAGGGGGTTTGCTGAAACACGACTTCAACCCACAATTTCAACACTGTCCCATCAGCAGGTTGTGGGTGAGAAGTATTAGCTAGGGGCGTTCAACGCTCCCACTGCAAGAAGGCAGGCTATGTCCACTCTCAGGTTTGTTGCCTTTAACGTTAAAGTCTTCTATAATCCATCACTACAGACCGGTCCCCCTCCTTGAGGCCACTGTGTCCTTCTATCTGCATAGCCCTTGGGGACCACAATCCACAAACAGGAAGAAACAAAACCTAGAGAGGCTGTCCAGGACCCATGGCCTATCGTGCCTGGAGGACACAAAGCTAAGTGTCTTAGGATAAGACATGATTCCCAACACCTCCTACATGCTGCTGACAAGCTAATTCTTTTATCAATCTCCCACAGAGAGTTAAGATTCACTTAAAACACAAGGGTTCAGTCTGAGGGAAGGCAGGTGCACATTGCATGCTAAGCACCTAACACATGAGGGGGAAAGTGAAATCACAAACAAAGCTCACAACTCTAATTAGCAGCTATTAATAGGGCCTTGAAAGGGAGGTGTGAAGGTCACACCCAGGCTGGTGGTCCTGTAGGACTCAAATGCCAGCCGCACTAATCAGCCCATGTCCAGGAGAGGAGATAAAGGGGGAGCCCTCCTCCAGAGCTCTGGGTATGGAGCCTGATTAAACACCATACAAATGGAGTAGAGCTGTGTCCTCCAAAAAGGTTCATCCTAACCATCACCACTAAGCCGACTGTAGTGGCCCTCAATTGTAACTCCAACCCTCAAGAGGCTGGCTGGGATGGCGGCTAAGGTTCAATCTGGATGACACGGTGAGTCTCAGCAAACAAACCAAAAAAGAAACAAACCAACAACAGCAGAAGCCCATGCTGGGGACGAGTGGGACCTGTTATTTGAAACAGAGCCTGGAGTTATTAGAGTCCAAATGAAGCCACACTACAGTAGGCTAGACCATGAATCAACCCACTGGTGTTCTTCTCCTGGGAAAAAGGAAATGACAACATGGAGAAACAAGACGTGACAAAAGACGCCGAGGCTAGAGGGGCACTCAATAGCCATGGACACCAGGACTTCTAAAGCCAAAGAATGCTGGGGGAAATCAGAGGGCAGATACCACCATTCAACACCACCACGAGAGCTCCCTGACTGTCTCCTAAAGGAAGCAAAGTTGCCAAGGGACTTTCCTGGGACTCTGCTGTCAATTATACATCACAGACACATTTACAAATACACTCGCTCATACACTCTCATGAAGGAGACCGACCGCCTATACACAAACCACAGCCTCTGAGCTCTGTGCACGGATCACAGACTCCTTGCTGAGACAAACTATCTGCCCTAAGTCACTAATTAAAAGTATCATCAAGCATAAAGTGCTTTCTCTGGACTGCATCTCCAAGGCTTTCAAGTCAATTCTCTTCCCCCACAAAATAAAGTGTCAACTAAAAAGGTGTCACTCAAGAAAAGACAACTGAGCCACCCTGTGAGGCGCTGCCGAGAGGCATCTGAAGAAAACACTCTGGGATGATTGCACCAGGAAGTTCCTGCCAAGGGGAAGCTCTCTTCTCAAAGAGTGGATTTCTGTTCTCCTCGACACATTATCCCTCTCTCGATACCCAAACATCTCAGGGGCAAGTAAGGATTACAACCAAAGGTATTTTGTATGTATTAAACCAGAGGAACAACCCCGAACTCCATGACCAAGAATGGAGAGAATCCAGTGAGCTGCACAGACTGGCAGACACACATGTGGACAGTAGAGTGGCAGCTGTCCAGTTGATTGCTCTAGCACTGGGGGATTTCTGTGGCTTAGACATGGTGTGAGTGGGTATGCAAAGATTTGCAGAGAGGAAGCCTGCTTCCCAGCTTGACTCCTTTAACAGGTGGGAAACAGCGCAGGGAAACTACTCATGGGAGACGCTGTGCTCAGAAGGGACGAACACAGGCCTGGAGGGATCATGGCTCATTCTCAGGAGTAGCATTGCTGTAAAGAGCAACACTGATCCCATCCCACACTGTAGCTTCCTGTCTCGTCATGTCCCTGTCATGCATGCTCTGACTGAGATGCCCTCACCAGACCCCAAACATGGAGCTGACTGATCTTGGACATTCAGCCTCTCAAATGTGGGCTAAACTAAAAATAAACCAGTTTTCAAAAGCAACTAACCTTGGGGATTTGTTATAGCCATGGAAAATGAAGGATCACAGAGGACAAATCAGAGGGCAGCAGCAACACAAGAAACTGGAGGGCCACACGGTTTCAGCCAGGCACCAACCACAGTCCTCCTACACAGCTGTACCTTCCCACATGGGTGATGAGTCCCTGAAGGGAAGATGGAGCTACAGCCTTCTGACAACTTTCTGCACACCTGAGACCCCCACCACCCAGGACTCCGCACTGCTAAATAAAGACGGTAAAAGAGATGTTGATCCTGCAGCCCTTATATACAGTTTCTCCAATTCTGTTAGCATGGATAGATGGCTACGCTAACTCACGGGGAAAAGTGCAACCACCTCCCAGCTCTAAGTTCCCTGACCCCACAGAAGAATCTTGGGATTGCAAATCAGGAGTGTGAGGAACCAAAGGCATGTTCCTTTGCGTCCTGCCACTGGTGCAGGGCCCGTGGATCAAGGGGATAGGGAACAGAAACCAGCTGTCAGATCTTGATGAGCACAAAGACAGTAACTGCTACCTGCTACATCTCAGACAGCAACACAAGGGCAGCTCAAAGGAAACAGACCTCCCCAGGCCAAGGGCTTCTAGCAACACAGAGGCCTCCTCATTCGCAGAGATGCAGTTGTATCCTGTCGGGAACAGCTGGGCATGGTGCTGCCCTATCACACGAACACAGCTCTATCTTCCATCACACAGAACAACTGCCCTAGATCCAAGGCCCACAGTCAGAGGATGGACAGGTGGGCAGGTGAGGGTGTGAGAGAAAGATCCTGAATTCTGTCTCTCAGATCCAAGAGTCCTCAGCTGTGTGCCTGTCAGTGCGGTGGTAAACTCCCACTCTGCAGATCGGGGGGAGGGAGTGTTAGCATCTCATCTCACAGGGTAAAATTTTTACTTCTGATGTGCAAACAATCAAGAGAAACACCACTGTGCTGATCAAAATAGAAGGTCACAGTCTACTGTTGGACACAGGTGTGTTAGGACAGACTGAATGACCAACAGGAAATGACCGACACCACAGTACTGATCAAATGTAGATGTGGTCCTGCCTCTCCCTTTAGAATCAGCGACTACAGTACCACCTACCTCTAAATCCCTAGAAATCTGTGCCACAGAGAGACAGCAAGAGAACCAGGGGCGGGCCTGGCCTGGAACTTCCAGCAATTCTAGCCCAAAATGTGGATGCTGGAAGGCATTCACAACAGGACTGGCTGAAAAAGGCGTATGTTTGCCTTGCGGCTGGGTCAGCGCAGACCTTTGGTAGACGGATTTTTACCAACTGCACGACAGTGAGTCCCACAACGCAGAAGCCCCGAAACAGAAGCGCTACCAACTCCAAGTCTACTCAAGCTGGCTGTGGTGATCGTTCACACTCAGGCACAGAGAGGAAAGCCCTTGCACGGCCCTGGGCTGGTGGGTCCTATCTTCCTCCCTCTTCCAAGCTGTGAGTTCTGAGTACCTGGGTCTATAGTCCCCACAAGATCAAGCCTTTGTCTATTTGGTCTCATGCATAAACCTTTGGATGCTGTCCCCTTCCCAAATCATCAATCCCGGGGGAGAATTTGGGAAGTGGGTGTTTCCCTGATGTGACAGCTGGGAGGCTTTCAAAACATGGCTGGAAAACACTACAGAATGGTGGCAGAGCCCCAAGCAAGCCCTCAGAATTTTGTTCTTTCTAGATGGTTCCACAGTCTTTAGGACAAGAGTTAAAGGGCTAAAACATGTGTTACAGGGAACACGTGAAGCTACTTTGGACTACTGCTCAGAAGACAGCTAAGGGACGAAACAGGGTGGAATGCGGAACTTAAAAGAAAAAGGTGAAATGAAACAAAATAGGATGAGACACAGAACGAGGCGGGAAGGGAACGCTACAGGACAAGGTTGTGCCTCTGCTCGCTCCAGAACGAGACAGCACTGCCATGAAGAAATGTATAGTTACCTGCGTCCATATCTGCAAAGAATGGAACAGCCAGTAAGAAAAAGAAGGAACCAGAAATTCAGTGTCTCAGAGTTGGATTTCAAAAGGTTACATGGGGAGAAAATATATTTTAGAAAATGGCTTGTGGGCTACACTTTGATTAAGGGGACTACGGGGTTTCCTATTACCACTCTCATAATCTTACTTAAAAGTTAAAAAAAAAAATAAAGAAAAGAAAAAAAGAAACAAAACCACAGTAAGACATGGATATGTCAACAGAAGAATCAAAATGTCTAATGGCAAAAGAAATGCCTAATTCACATGCAAAATGATTATTACATGTCTGTAATACAATATAAAGGGAACATACTCAATACACACAGTGGGGGATCTGGACTGCATTTAGAAATGCTGGTATCTCTGACTACACAGTATTACAAGGTCAGTGTCCAGATCCGAGAGATGTCCGACCAGTACTCAAAGGAGTAGCACTGGACCAAGGATCAAGGGCATCTCATGATTAATGCTCGAACTGCTGGAGTGAGTGCTCTAAGCCCCTATCAGAGGGAAAGTATACCTAAGTCTCTCTGATGCTTGCTGGCTTTCTTACGGCTTTGGCATGGGTCATCTTTAGAATATGCTAAAGAAAAAATTTAAACCCTAAACTCTAAACTGGTAACTAACCACCTGCCAAACAACATACCTTCTGGAGACTCCTCCTGCACGTATGTGCCCGTCAGGTATCGGTGCACCAGCGCAGACTTGCCACTGGCCAAGTTACCCACAATTCCCTGCAGAAAAAAAAAGACAATGGTTAGGGGTGGTTAAATCATTTATTTAGCTTTTTTTTTTTTTTTTTTTTTTTTTTTGTACACAGAGGTTAAAATACTCAGTAACCTCACACGGGGTTATAATCACCCTGACAAAATGTTGAAGGAAGATTAAAAATGAACTCAGCAACTATTTCTATTGGAAACAGAGTCAACCTTGATTTAGCTGCTCCTGTCTTTCTTTACCAGTCCTGGTGCTGTCAGGGTGTCAACATAGCTGGTATCCTTCCGGAAATGCCCCTGCTGGCTTTACAGAGTACATGTGTACCGGCTCGACTGCCATGGGGTAGGAGCCTCCCTATACACTAAGATGGAAAGGTTCCACAGAACACACAATGCCACACACAGAGCTGTCTGCAGATAGGGCCATCTGGTACATTCCACCCTAAGGAAGTGAAAATGGGAAAGCTGGAGGAAGGAGTAACTGGGATTGGGAAGGGAGTAGAGACAGCAAGCCTGCCTCTCAAAAGTACACAACTAAGAGAAAACCAACAGCCAAGCTGTGGCAGGGACAGTCAAGGTGATCACACTGGGTAGAAAATAACAGGAGAGGGCAAGGGTGGTGTGGGTACCGCTGTCCACCAACAAGCAGGGTGGCGAGGCTGACCCCTGTGCTCTAGTGAAAGGACACTTGGCTCTGCTGGGAGCCCTGCACTTCTCCCACCCTCCCTCTAGGAAGCTGCTCCACTCAGAGGCCTTGTCCATTCTAATTTTTGCTTCATGACCATATATGAATCCCACGTTCTTCCCTGATGTCCCAACTGCCCCGCAGCCGATTGGTCTGTGTGACCATCTCCACACCCACAGGCTGTCCTCACCCTCTCACCAAGCTTGCAGGCCTCTGCTTCCTACTTCCGGGCTTTGTCGCCTATGTTCACGCACTATCAATCTCATCTCTACAGGGTTTGCTGTCTCCAGGTGACTAGAACTTTCCACATTGATTAATCAGAGCCCCAAATCCTATTCAAGCTCAGGACTGGCAGCCAGTTCAGCCATAACAACCTGAGACCATGTCTTTTGGTTTCTGAATGCTTGTGTTCCCAGGCCCCAGGAGACGCACGGAGAGAGGGATCTCTGAGAGGGATGGGTCACAGGACACTATCCACACGGAAACCAGCATATATCTGAATGTGGCCCAGCAGGCAGGAGAGAGGAAAGAACATCCCACCTGTGATCTATAGAACAAAACGCCCCCTAAAACCTACCAGCTCCCAAATCTGCAGGTTCCTTTGACTCCAACCTCTAGAACTATGAACACAGGTTTTACTGTTCACAACACCGTATCTTGTGACAGCAGTCTAGATGGGTGAGGACATTTTCATGCCACAGCCTCACCTGGGGCCAGCAAGAACACGGAACCTTTAACCTGACTTGCCACTCCTTATGGGAAGGGACTGTGCCTTACTCATCTTGTTCTGTGTCTTGCCAGGGCACCCACTCCAAGGAGGATGCACAGCCCCCAGGGAATCGGCGTGTGAATGGCTGATGAGTGACTAACACTAGTGAGTATAAATGAGCTCTCTCTACGCTGAGAGCTGGGCTGAGGGCCAGAGCATAAGGACAGCTCCTGCACAAAGCTGCCTCCTCTCCAGGATTGCATCTTCCTACCTGGAGCCTCCACAATCTGAGAATATCTGCCTATTAATTATTCTTTTGCTCAAGGGTACCTGCTGTTTGTCAGCTTCAAGCTGAGAAAAATCCAAGCACAGAAATGAAATGTTTAATTAAGATCACTTTCTCTTCCTGGAGGAAGAAATCCACACTGTGCAGCTGGGATTTCTCTATGTGGTGACACCAGCCGCTCTTTTCAGCAACAATGGGCAAAGGTAAGGCACATCCCTGACCAGGCCAGTGCCAGCTACCCTGGGCTGGGGATGAAGGTGGCTCAGCTTGTGCACCCATCTCACAGATGTGAGCAGCATTGTTTTAACTTGAAACACTGGCAGAAACTACCATCTGTTAGGATGTGGCCCTCCTGTGAAATTGTGACAACCACTCCTGAGTGTCACCTGCACAGAAGGAAATAACTCAGCCAATGGGCTTCATGGACAGAAAGGGGGCACCGTGATAATGACAGAGCTGGGTACATCAGACAGAAGAGGTCACCTGCATCACCTGCACAAGCCATCAGTTAAGGCTCTGTGCCCCATGTCATCTACCAGAAGAAGCAAAGCACAGCACCTTTATAAACTCAATTCTCTAGCACCCCGTGTTTTCTACTCGACTACTGAACACGATTCTACTGCAAGTCAAATGGAGCCTTCTAGTTAAAAGCCCCAGATGAGAGTATAAGCAAAACAGGCAGTGGCACCTCACAGGCAAGGTGCCTACTGCTTCAACCCAGGCGGAGGCACGGAGCTTACACAGCCCGGCACAAAGCTGCAGGGCTGAAGACAACGACACCACAACTTCAAAGAGGCCACCGCTCTCACAAGGAGCAACAGTGAACTGTGTATCCTGATGCATTCCAAAAGACTCACTGAAAAATACTCCACAAAAGATACATTGGGACACAGTGACATCATTCTATGGCTACATTTCCAAGCAGGGCTGAGGGTCCCAAGGCGATGACCTAAAGGGCCACCTCAGGAGCTGCGTGAGAGCAGAAACAGTAACAGTCCTATGGGCATGAGAAGGGAAATGATTCACAGAACAAAAGGGTGTTTCTTCAGACCTGAGCATTCTCACTGCACAAGGATAGGCTGAGGTGCCCTTGACAACGAGGTGCCTGCAGATGCCATCATGAGAGGGCACACACCACGGCAGAGCTCAAGGCCCTCAAACCACAGATGAGCCCTTGACTATAGGACAAGTCAATCACAGTGACCTCAAGTCAGTCCAGCTTTAACAAAGTCACATTTAGAAGAACCCTACACTGTCTCTTTAAATGTCAATACTTGCTAGACACATCAAATGCTTATAACAGAAAGTCACATGCAGAAAATAAATTTTTGGATCATCCTCAAATTATTATTGGCTGATAAAAATATGTGGACGAGACCAGGCATAGTGGCACTAGCCTATTTAATTCTAGCACTTGCGAGGCTGAGCCAGGAAGATGGTAATGAAAAGCCAGCCTGGGCAACATAGTGAGTTCCACAGCAGCTAAGGACATAAGTAAGATGCTGCCTTAAAAAGCCCAAACCAGTCAACAAAAACCACTCAGGCCCTGAAGCCTGCAACATCTTTAAATGCAGGCTGGCTCTCGGTAAGATAACCTGCAGTAACACCAGTTCCCCGTCATCTCTTGTGCTGCCAGAAGGTTGAAGCACCCCACCCCACCCTGCTGCTGTTCTGACTTAAATGAAAACCTGGGGCCAGAGGCTATGGCAACAGTGGGGACAGATTCAAAGAAGGCTCTCCAAGGCAGTGCTGGTTTCAAATCCCAGCTCTACCCTACTCCAGATGGCTTCCGAGGAAGTTCTTCATGTCCCAAACCTAATCGGTGACACAGGGTGACAACAGGACCTGCCCCTCCTGGGGTAATTGTCAGGATTGAAGGCCATAATTACATGAAACGTGCAGGCAGGGCATGCCCAGGACTGTGTACTTCATAAACACCTTGTGGGAAACACCCTGGTCTTGTTGTTTGTCACTGGCTATAGTCAGCACCTGGGTTTCTTACCACAAGTATCTAAAACTGGCCAGTCTTTATAAAAGGTCCCGTTAATGGCACTGGCACCTTTGGGTATTTCCAGAACACTCTAATACTGTACAAGTTATGGTAGCTAAGAAGCACAGAAGACAGACGAGACAGCTGTTTCAGGGACAGCCTGCAGAACCCCAGAGGCTGGGAGGACGGCTGGCTTCCGTAAGTGAACAGTCCCATTTGCCAGCACTGCTGAGACGCGCCAGTGTCCTGGAGGAAGTGGCTCACTTCCATCTCAGTGAGACATAAAAGTCCCTATCCCATCCTCTCTAAATCAGTGAGGCTGGGCAGCATAAAGAAGAAACCTGCCCCTGGAGGTTGAGGCAGGTCACTGGGGAGCTGGCAGGAGAAAGGATGAACAGGATGGGAAGATGCACAATGAGGGGGCGGGCCACACTGAGGTCCTCCACCACCTGATATGTGCTAATGGACAGGGGCTCATCTGTCATCCAGCAGGTAAGTCAGAGTCCAGCACAGGGAAAACAGAAGAGAGAGTGTGCGTGTATATAAAAACGGACTAAGAGCCTCACGTTTCATGACAAACAACACAGTTATTTAAAATACGGGCATCCTTTCCTTCCATGCTAAGGGTGGAGGCATGCCACGGAACTGGGCCTAAGAGGCAACTGCAATGGACAACATTCACAGATGCCAGCATAAGCTTTAACTCTGCTGGAAGTTGCTTTTATTAACAGCACAACTCTTAACTTATGCCAGGAGCTCATAATTATATAAACAGTCATTACTTTTTGACAAAAATTATGACTATGGACCACTTGTTACAGAGGTTGCCATAACACCCAGCAAGGGACAGGCTAAGTCCACGGTGGTATGTGTATACAAGTACATGTGTGTGACGCAGACAAAGGGCAGCACAGAGCCGGGGTGGGGGGGAATGTACAGACACCACCTGCTGGATGGCAATTACGGCTCTTCCATGCACATTCAAAGTTCTGGCTCCCTATTGCCAGTGATAGCCTTGCCCAGGTGCACACACCCCAGACGGAGCAAGCCTCCGCTCTTCAGGCCCCAGGAAAGAGAAGGGGTAGATATGGGCAAGCTTGCAGACTTACTGTAGGCTTATTCTAGCTCCTCCCTCCCACAGGCCAGAGGTGCCACTCACCACTTTGAGCTCCGGGACAGATCGGCTGAGAGTCCATTCCTGGCTGTTCACAAAAGCATCTGCAAGAGAGAATGGGAAGTGTGAGGCGACATGCCACAACCCAAGGCAAATCTGAATGTCCCCTATGTCATTTTTGGTGGGGACGGAGGGGCACTAAAGAACGATCACAACAGACCCCTAAGTTACTATGACAGGAGCCTGATCTGCCTGGACCTGACCTTGCATCAGGTCAGCTTTCCATCTTTTAGTAGTCTACTAAAATAGTCACTTTTCTGAAATCTCACCAAAAAAGAAAAAGATAGCTGACAACTCCAACCAGCTGCGAGACTGCAGGGTACAGAAAAGTCTCTGCTGGATATTAGGGTGAGAGACAAACAGAGAGGTGATTCAGCCAGGGTGGTTAGGGGTGCTTCAGAAAGACAAAGGGTCCCTCGGTCCTGGAGGACTCAGTCATGGTGCTTATCCCCCAGCCTGCCTCACACCTCACACCACCACAACCACAGTCCACGGCTTTGCTCACATGACTGCCACACTCCCCGTGCCACTTCCTGTCATAAATGACAGCCTGTGGTAGTGTCCACCACAATGCAGTCACAGGCTGCACGTCTCTTTCCAATGTAATTCACTCGAGAGTCTTTCTCAGATGACTCCTGATATTTCTTAAGTTGTTCATAACTCACAACATATTCAAAGTCAAGTTGGTCAGCATTCTCTGGAGTATGGTACTTTAGACCCAGCAGGTGTCAGGGCCAGAAGCATCGGTCTGCTGTTCCCATGTAGGTTGCTTAGATGAGACCAAGCATACCAGGGAAAGACAGTCCACCTGATACCAAAGAGGCTACAACCAACAGTGGCCAGACGTCACTGCCCTGCAGTGACAGAGAAACCCTGATGTCTACGGATATGAGTGGACCAGAGGTAGGAGCTGGGTGGCCTGCAGAGGCTATAGGAGGCAAGACACGCCAATACAAAAGCATCGTGGCATTGTGTGGTAGCTTTTTTTTTTTTTTTGGTTTTTCGAGACAGGGTTTCTCTGTGGCTTTGGAGCCTGTCCTGGAACTAGCTCTTGTAGACCAGGCTGGTCTTGAACTCCCAGAGATCCGCCTGCCTCTGCCTCCCGAGTGCTGGGATTAAAGGCGTGCGCCACCATTGCCCTGCGTGTGGTAGCTTTTTATTTGCAAATATATCCACACTCAAAATTGGGGGGGGGGGGCGCTAAGAGCTATTTACACAGCTTTCATTAAGAAACCTTTCTTTAAAACTATCTGCCCAGTCTGAACGACAGGTTGCCACACACAAGACCAAAAGAAAAGTAGCAGTTGCTTTAGTCAAAGACATCTGCACCACAGTCTTCTGCCATCTTCCTCTGTGTGGCTTTTCAGTGGCTGAGCCTTGTACCACGGCGGCGAGCAAAGCAAATGCAGGCTATGCAGCCGCTACCTAGAAAATTCCTCAACCCAGCAGGGAGACATCTCTGTCTCACTCAGTCTCCAGAGCAGTGGCCTGCTTCGAGGAACAACTTTGGCCATGTCTGCACGCACTTTTCCAGGATCTTCCCAGTGGGGCGGAGCCAAAAGTCACAGATGTCTGTGGGATTGGTTATTAACATACACTACGTCCAAGAGTCAACCCCCTGCAAGGAATAAAACCGGGTGTGATACATGCCTGCAATCTTCACACTCGTAGAATCATAAATATCAGAAGTTCAGGGTCATTCTAGGTTACACAGTGAGTTCAAAGTGAGCTGGGACTATCCTGTCTGGACATTCACCAAAACAGAAGAAATGGCTGTGTCTCACCCACTTAGCATCCCACTCCCTGGAATACAGTAACGCGAAGAAAAAACATTCAGACATCGGTGTAGATGAAGTGCTACTGGGCTGGAATTTAACGGTAGGGCTGAGATTACCACTGACAGGCTGTGGGTTCCTCTGAGCCTCTGAAGGGTGTGGGCCAGGCTGCCTGGCTCCTGCTTAATACCACAGGTGTTCTCCACTGCAGCTCAGGACAAGAACCTAATTCATCTTTCCTCATCAACCCAGCACTAGCCTTCTACTATTTTTTCCGCTTTCTGCAGTGCAGTGCATCCAATCCAGGGCCCCCTGCATGTGAGGCAAGTGCTCTAACACCTAGCTATAGTCCCATAAGTTAACAGTCTTTATTCAGTTAAAGAAAGTGGGTGCTGTGTCCAGGCCTCCCCCTATAGTGACAGAATACTGGGGCTCCAAGTTAGGCATGTAAAATGTGACATCAGGTGCCTTCACTGGTCTCTGGTAATCTTGACCAGTGGATTGTAAGTAATACCCAAGTGGATATAAGAAGAAAGGTACAGGGAGTGCACTACCCACAACGGGCTTCAAGATTCATGAGGACACACTTCAACTATAGCACTGCAGCAGATGAGAAGCAGGAGGCCATAGGCTGGGCTTGAGGGGCCAGGGCTGCCTCCAATAAGAGGATAGAACTAATAGGCCAAACAGTGTTTAAAAGAATACAATTTGTGTGTTGTTATTTCAGGTATAAAGCAAGCTGTGCGGGAGCCGGGTGGCAGGAACGCAGCCTGCTGCTCCTTCTACAGCAATGAGAATTTCACTTGGTTCCACCCAGACCATGTAAGCATGTACACACAGCCGAAAAAAGAACCCATGTGATGTGATCATTAGCATCTTACAACGAAGCTCTCTGGTGAGCTGACCCCAACACCATGCCCAGGCAAAGCCCAGCAGGGACCAGAGAACAAGCAAGGTGACTGATAAGACGGATGAACCTGAACCAGGCCGCCAGGACCCACAGGGTCCTCATCTATAACCTGGAGGAGCCTGGCTACAAATGCCGTATTTCTAGGGAAGCCTTCCACTTCACAGTTCCACTGGGTACCTTCCTGGGGTCCCAGAACCTTGAGCTAATGGCTTATTAATGTTCTTTATCATCCCCAGAGTCCAAACTGCATCATTTGGCTAGTGGACGCAAGCCTCAGCACAGCCAAGGCCTAAGATAGGGAACTGCAAGCCCAGTCTCCAGGACCACAGTGACGTCATGCTCCCCACTCCCACCTTGTTTGCCTTCAGGGACCACAGATACGAGCTCCAGCCACAACTCACGAAACTGCCACCAGGGTAAAAAAGGAAACTATAATTGTAGGCGAGAAGAAAAAACACTGTCTCAGAGACGGGGATGCTCTTGGAACCTTAAATTCCACAAAGCCTTTTGGAAATGTACTCTGTTTAGCAACAGATATGATTTTTTTTTTAACCTGAGAACATTTGCAAAGTCTTGAAATAGGAAACAGAACAACAGAAAAGAGAGCAAGTCTACCCAAGGAACAGGAGGGAGGGAAAGCCAGGCTCCTGGTCCTATCATAGCGTGCTTAGGAAGAAGACAACATACTCTACAGAGGAATAAGAGCTCTGTGGCACAGAGCTTAATACCCAAGGAGCAATGACTTCCACACCTGGGTGCAATACTGTGACAATTTCTTATCAAAAGCCATCTATTGCGAGTTGAGCAATCCATGAATAAACCCAGTGCTCTGGGGTACTAGACGATTGCCAGGTTCCCGTTAGCTCCAGTTGCTCCCCAGTGGCCCCAAAGAGTCACAACCAAGATGTCTCCCTCCCTCACATCCCTGTCATTCACCTTCCCCATTCATAAGACCTTTCCTTTGAAGAGTGACAAATGTCATGCCACCAAGATACCACCATGCCTATCCACCCCTAAAATATGACTACACCACAGCCTCAATCCCAGGCATCTTTCCCCTAAGCACTGATGTGGCACAAGATCCTTCTCAGTAGAGACACACATTAAGAGACCCTTTCTCTTCTCCCCTACACAGTCTCCAAGTCAAAAGACACCAGCTGAGGTGGCATCTGGAGGACTCGATGAGTTGGCTCGAAAGCCATAGGATTCCCTTTAGTGATTTTCCCTCACAGCACCCTTGCTCAGGAAGAACGGCGTTCTAGGAGCACTGCCTAACGCTGCATCAGATCAGTAATGGTTTGAGAACACAAGTCTGACGAGGAAAGTAGAAAATGTGAAAACCGAGGCCAGAGTGGAGCCAGGGACAGCAACCGCGGCCTCCTGTGTGTGCTTGATACGTCCGTAGTCCACATACCTTGGGAAAGGTGTGTGCTGGGTGAGCAGAGGCTGCAATATTATGACTAAAATATTGGCAGCTCTGAAGCCTATGCCCCCATTCTATCCCATTTGTATTCACTGCTGTCACCCAGGTGATGACAGCATTTGCTGTGAGCATCTTCCCCGGGCAGCCTAGATTCCCAGGGAGAAAGACTGCAGCCCCAGCTCTTTCTGAGGCCAGAAATAACAAAGGGCAATACATCTCCATGTCCCTTCAAGGCCACCTGAGAGCTGGGGTGTCTACAACTGACCACTCCCAGGCCTCCCTAAAGACCTGTTGCTGCCCTAGCACCTCTGGTTTGGGGGGGGGACACTTTCCCATTGCCCAACTGTACATGGGGGTCTCACTTCCAAGCCTGTGTTCCGAGCCTGAACAGCATACACAGGTGCAAGGCATTTGAACACCTGGTCCTAGCTGATGGTGCTCTTTGTCACCGTTTACAGGGAAATACCGTCCCACTCCCAGTTTGCTTTCTGGTCCACATTTACAGTTAAGGGTGTGATCTCTGGTTCTGCACCACACCTGCAGCCTACTGCCGTGCCGTGTCCCCGCCTACAGACTCTGATCCCTCAAAAGCCGTAAGACAAAACTAAACCCTGTCTTCCATAGACTGACTCTGGCTGTGGCTCCATCACGGTGACAGAAAAGCAGCACAGGTAGTCACGCTCCGCTCACCTGAGCAACTGTGACCAGACACACTCACGGGGTCTCTCTGCAGTACCTCTCCCCCGACTGTCGCCTCTTGTTACTTTCCCCAGCAAGCTGCCCCAGCTGCCCCAGTCCCATGCCCCGGGACTATACCTAAGTGACACAGAACCAGTGGTCATATGCTTGGGCACAGGCCTGACCCTGGCAAACACTGTAACCCTGAGCAAATCAGGCTTCTCCCAGATAAGGCTTTAAAATAAATTTGGTGCAACA